TCATAAGAGAACCTGGAGATTTGGTTTGGTCCTCACACTGCACATAGTGTAACCCATTAAATACAACTATAAAAAAAATACATGAATCGTAGTGATAATATTGTTGCACTTTATTATAGTTTTTTTTTTTTATAAAATAATTAAATAATAAAGTGTGATAATACTATTATATTTTAAAATAAAAAGGGAGTATTAAATACAAATACAACTATTTTATAGTAAACTTCAAAATAAAATGCTAATATTTACTTCTTTTTTTAAAGATGAATTTTCATCATTTTCAAACTTAAAATCAGCAGGCTTTTATTTTGGCGGGTTGCCGGAAAGTAAGTATATGTGCTTCCGGGTTTAGCACTGCTGACTGAAGTGCTTCAGTAAATGAAATGTTTTGCATTGTGACAAAAATGGCAGCGGGTAGCCTAGATTTATTTATCTATTCAGTTTCAATAGAAATCTTATACAGTATTACAGTTTGTCGATCTAAAATGGTAATTGTGCATTAACAGCTGTCAACCATGTCGGTACGCAAATGCGCTGTCAGAACTTACTTACACAGCGCATTTTTTATTTTGGTCGCACATGCACACCTGCGTACCACTTATGTGCACCGCTGTTTATAATAGAAATAACTGCATAAAACAGCCTCAAATTTGGATACTTGAATTTGCATTGATCACAGTAACCACAGCTCATCACATTAACTACATTGGTTAAATTTTGTTAATTTTAAGCAAAAAAAAAAAGTTTCTTCAGATTATGAAAATGTTCTTCACACTAAGAAATGTTTAAGAAATGTTCACTGAGAGGTTCTTTGGAGAACCCCAAAACATTCAAACCCCCCCCCCCCTTGGAACCTTTATTTTTAAGAGTGTATTTTGAAAAGCCAGCCAACACTGAAGCTTGTCATTTTGGACCAACCCCTAGCCATTTTTGCATTCAATTTGCATCAGATAGTCAAGGGGGTGTTCCGTCTGAAGCAGAAACAACTGTGATGTCAGCTAAGCACTGCTTATGAAGTTTAGAAAGTTGCTGATGCATCGATAAACACAACGTGTTTTTATTGAAAGCAAAACACACAACAGCTGTTGATCATCACAGGCCATCAGTTCTGAAACACAAATTTGAAATTGACCTTGAAAGTTCAAGGGAATCAGATGAACTCCAGCAAGAACTACTTCAAGCAGCTGGGAATATAAATTTAACCGCTGGCAAAAAGTGATGAGACAAAAAAAACAAAACAAATGCTGCATAAGCAGGTTGGAGCAGAGGGCTAAAATTGAGCACAATCACTGGAGGGCACAACTTTTGCCAATCGTTGGCAGCTGACCAGCCAGAAAACAGCAGCGCAGCCACAGAACAGCTAGACAAACTTCAGTTTTATCACACCCAACTTTTTCCTTCCAAGCGCTACTTTCTTTTAACGCTGCATACCAGGGGTTGTCGGCAACACAAGCTGTAGCTCCTAAACTCGCTTCTTAATGGCAGATCTTCCCCTGCTAATAAAGGAATAATGAGGCAGTCTGTATGGTGTTCGGTCCCCTGTGGAAGAGAAGCTCTCAGCACTCACAGTAAACAGTCTGTTCAGACTAGAGATGATCAGTTTGATGTCTGTCTCATACAGATGGTTCCATTCTTAAACAATGCAGGCCAGCGTGGTTAATTGCTACAGAGACGACTGGAGGTGCAGTTACATGAGCATTTCTGCTGCAGGTGAGTGAGTGTTTTTGTGTGACAGGACTGACTGACGAGCGAGCAAGCGCGTAGAGCGCCCTTGACTCGCGGCAGGCGAATAATGCCTATAAGGGCTGGGGAGGTTCGTTATCAGACAGATCCCCCCGCCCCCATATTCACGCACACACACTCGTGCGCACACTTACACACACTCTGTGAGGACAGCATAGCAGTCTTACCCCTTCCCGAAGGCACCTCATTAACACGGTGTAGGCGGCAGCAGGAACGACCCACAATCCTCCTGGGCGCTCTTTCTTCTCTTCCTGCAGGGGAAGGAAAGAGAGTATGTGTGTGTGAGCGAGAAAGAGAACTATTACTGAGACTCATTGGGGGAACAATTAAAAGCAGCAAAATGCAGCCACCATCATAATGAGGCTAAATAAATAAAGTCCTGTGACAGTAAATAAGACAACAGGCTCGCTGGCTCAGGCAGGTAAAGGAAACACAGCTCAAGTGATAAGCAATGATAGTGTCAATTAGAGGGAAAAGCAGGGAACGCTGCGAAGCAACATCCTCCTCTCATTTAACTTCTAATGCTTGCGTTCAGCACAGTGCTGAGACTAATCGTCAACATCAACAGCCGTCGTGAGCAAGAGCTTCATACAAGTCAAGGCCTGATTTGGTTTGCTGTTCATATGTAGTTGCATTATGCATCGTTCAGTAGGCTGTTAAAAATCTGAGGATTGTTTTACTTAAAAAACAAAAATACATTTAATAAAGGTAGAAATGTTACTATGACAAATCGGCTTTGAAAATCCTCTCTAAATTAGGTAAAAAATTTAAATACATGTACCAACAGCTTTAGAACTCAAAACAGTGATTCTAATTTATTAATGCATCACTATCACAAATTAACTGAGTTATTAATATTTACAATGAAGCAAAATATGCGTGCACAGCAAAATTGTCAAAGAGTTTATGTAATGTTGTATCTTTTTTATAAAGAATTATCATTTTGCATTTTAAAATATTTATATAAAATGTATACATGAACTCAAGGCTAAGTACCATTTTTTTTTTCAGTTTATGCAATAAAACATTTTATAGCCAATTTAGCAATTCTGAGGGATTGATTGATTGACTGACTGACCGACTGACTGATTGATTGACTGATTTATTTTTGATGGAAGCAATAAACCTCTTGTAATAAACTGATACCTCTGTTGGCAAATTGTTCTTACATAGAACTTCCCAAATTTTTTCTAGGGCTATTAAAATTGATTGTCATGGGATAGCAGTAGAAAAAGGGGATAACTCGACACCCCAGTGGCTGATAAAATACATTTGGAAGCAGGAATCATCCTGTGAAAAATAGCGCCATCTCGTTGGTCTCTCTTTGTACACTGTACACTATGTGCAGGTTATTAAAGAAATAATTAGCATTGACTTCTGATGAACAGTTCTTTAAAAATATATATTTGTTTGTTTGTTTGATGATGATGATCCAAGCCAAACATTAAAATGTATCAATTATACTGCATTAGATGATAAAATATCTAATCATTTAGGGTCATAACCACTGTAGACACTGAGATGTGGCCAAACTGATATATGAACCACTGTTCAGGCCACAATTAGTTTTCCTGACATAATTATAAACAGGTAAAAGTGTAATTTTGCTCCAAAGCATCTATCCACATACCTAACACATATATTAATGCATATTGTGGCAGGTGTACGGGTGAAGTCAACAAATAAAAGATGGCACATGTGAACATGTTTGTGAACAGAGAAAGAAATAATAAATGCCAAATATGTCACTACAGTTTGTTGATAAAGTGTTTGGTCATCTTCTTTAGGACTAGTTGGTTAACAGTAATTGCAAAAGTGGCTCAGAAAAAAAAAAAAGAAGTAAAAAGTAAATAATCATCACTTGTTTGCAGATAGCACTTTGTTTTTATTGTAGCTAATTTATCATTCATTTTGACTATATTATTTCTGCCTGTGCACACTATACAGAAACATGTTTGAAATGGAATACTGGAAACTGAGGGTGAACAACGTTAAAGAACAAATATTTTATAGTTGTGTTTTACCGAATGACAGGCTGAAGAAAAATCAAAGTTAGAGCATGGCTTATCTTGTATCACTCCCATTCAGTGTCGCACAGCCATAGTTTTCCAGCTGGACTGCCACTGACATTCATAGTGTCAACACACCTATTGCTCGCATTACACAAGAGCTGAGAAGCAGAGAAAAGTCATTAGATAAAGCCAATCAAGGCCACAGCGTCCCTCACCCTGCGCTCAGAGCTAATGTGATCAATAAAAGCTGTGTGCTGTTGTACTGTGTGACCCTGAAAAGCACAACCGTACAGGAGATACACACTTATATAAGCCCAACAAAGCATGTTATCAGCTAACCTCGGGTCCCTTACAGCGATCAATACAGCGATCAGATTAGGGTGACCAGACGTCTACAACACGGGACAAATTTTGGTGAAAAGGGTCTTAAAAAATGTGTCCTGGAAAAACAGGCCATCTCATCACACTGGTTGTAATGAGGTAAAATGGTGCTGTGATGAACCATTAATGGACTCCAGAGGCTGTGCTTCATTACACCTTTAGACCTCACTGACAGGCTGCTGTACATGTGCAATGCTGAAAATCCCCCAAACATTGACTTTCACCAAAGCATTGTGTCATAGCAGGCAAATGCAGTGTTACGTGACAGACAGTAGAGGTAACATGAGTAAATGCAAAATAAAAAAAGCGTAGTTTTCAGCGCTGATCTTTATGGTACTAAAATTCTGTCAAAGGTTAGACATGATGCACCAGACTGCATCAGCTATGAGATGGTCCTCGTGTTGAGGTTAATGAGGTCTGAGAGGTTGTATGAATCTCTCCTCATAAGGGAGCTTTTTAAATGTCATGGAATACTCAGAGGACAAATATTGCCTGTAAGACATTTATGAGAAGCAAACTGAGCTGTATGAAATTTCAGGCCATTGAATATACTGATCTGTTCTTGAGATCGCAATCCGGTGGCTAGTCCCCCTAGAAGCTAAAGTGGAAGTTGTGCACTGATCAATATTTACATCAATATAATAGACAGTCTACTTTATTTTTTCCCCTCCTTAATTTCAGTCACTAATTGGACTCATGTGAATATTGATATGATATGCGAGTTATACTGTAGGTGATACTTTAATTAGAGGAGCTTTTATGTCCACTGGGACATTTTTGAGGGAGAAAAAAAGAAAGAAAAAAAAAAGATTTTAAATAACAGATAACAACAACATTACATATTTGTGCCCTACACAGACTTTTTAATTTCCCCTTTAATGTAAACAAAGTGTTAAATTCAGAGAGAAAGATTCTACTCTGTACTTTTTCCAACAGAAATGTGTGTTATATGCGTGTTAGCCCATTGAGTTTTAACAAACCCCCTAAAGTGTGCGGTGAGTTTGGTGGGGGGTAACTGAGAATGAATTGGGGAAAATCACATGAGTGGAGGCAATGCGTTCATCGCAATATGATTGCATATATGGTTATGTTTGGCTGTGAATGGTTCATGCGATAAATCCCGTCTCTTGTTGTTGTGCGCATTCGCGAATCAGACTGAATGAACAATAAAAATGGCATTAATTTTAAAAAGTAATTTAAAAAGACTAATTTAAAAAAGTAAGTAAACAACTCTTAGTAAAAGTAACTTTGTTACGTCAAAATACGATTTAAAATGGCATGAAAATGTGATCTGTGGGAGCATGTGCTTGCAGAATACATGGAGAATGTGTATTTCCCACACACTTTTAATAAAATGTAAATTCGTCCCCCACGTTTTTTTTTCGGGCCAGTATGAATAAATCTAGATTTAAATGCAAAGAGACAAGATAGTCTTTGCATGACCTGACGTTTTATTTGTATCCAAAATAAAGTATATGAATAATGCAGTGCTAATTGACATTTATTACAGAAGACTTTAGAAACTACTGTATAAAATATATTCTCTGCTTTATTTTGTGATGAAATGGCAAAAAAAGTGTTTGTACTAATAAATAAATCATAAAATTGTCATTAGGAAAATATAGGGAAGATATTATAGAATACAATTTATTGGTTACTGCCCAGTAGCAATTAAAAGTAAGAGATAAAATAATAGAACCTGTCAATTAGCCAATAATCCCCTGTATGGGAATTTTTAGTGAGTAATCAGCTTGGTGAAGTAAATCTCCATGTCTGTGATCAATATTTTCTGAGCTTTGATGACTGATAATCCAAATCAAATTAAAAGTTAACTATTAAAAATAATAGCTTAACATAAGTTCACAAATAAAATATACGGTTTAAATTGTTACTGCCTTGAGTTATTATTTTGGAATAAATATAAAATGCTTAAAAAACACAAACTTGATGAGATTCATACTTGAATAAACTGAATATTGATTACAATGTTAATGAAAAAATTTAAGAGATTTGTTCCCACCCCCCGATAGTGTAAGTAATGTATATTTAACCAAGAAAATGTGACTATATGGGACATGAATTTACATTTAATAAAAAAAAATAAAAAAAACTGAGGACTTCTCCACATTTCAGAACACCATCGCACACCAGTTTAGTTTAAGTTTTATTTTAAAATTTGACAAGGCAGGTTATTGAAAGACAAAAAAAGAACAGTTACTTCTGTTACAACCTGAAGTGTGTCAAAAATAACATTCAAAACACCACAAATAGGTCATTTATAAAACTATTTAAAAGCACGGGGAATAAAAGAAAGTTCATGTCTTTATGTTTTGCTTTTGGGCATAACATGTTCCCTACTTTGACAAACTGAATAAATAGATGCTGGAGCTGCAGTCAAAAAGCTATGCAAAGGCGATGAATTGTCCCCTTAAGCATGTTAGTGAAGGTACATTTGGTAGCCTCATCACGCCTTTCGCTTAATGAAGGAAGAGAAGTTGTTGGGATAGGCTACCTATTATCCGACGACAATGTTTTTGTACCCTCTCTAACTCATCAGAGGGATGATGTAAGGGAAAATGCATGGGCTAGCTGTGCATTAAACTATTTTAACCCTACTAGAGTTGATGCCGGAAAGTTATCATATTCATAAGTGCAACAAGTCATTTCAGTGTTTCCCCTGCCATTATATTAGGGGGGCGGCCTATTTATTTAAAATTATTTAAAATAATTGTATTTAATTATATTTTCTCTATAGCGCCAGATCACAACAGAAGTCATTTAAAGTTACCTTTCCGATAGAACAGGTCTATACCTTGTTCTTTTATTAAGCAAATTAAATAGCCTTATGTTTTTTA